ATGTTCTCTTCCTCTTTAGGAGCAAACACTGGCTTAGACTCTAAAATCTTTTTACCCAATTTACCTTGAACTTCTCAACTTTAGACTCATAATATTCATAGTCGTCTGCTTTCTTTGGTTCATAAGGTATAACAAGTTTGTATGCTTTGCCTTCTTTAAGGTTTGAAAACCTTCTGTCAAAACTTTCTTTGACTGTTAACAAACCTTCTATGTCTAAGTCTTCAAATTTCGCACCATTTTTAGTCACAATAGCAAACTTAACTGGTTCGATGTTCCAAACTTTGTCAAATGTAGACTTTTCAAAATGGTAGAAGTAAACATTCAAATATGTGAATGGGTCTAGTTCTTCTTTAAGTCCTGACATGTACTTGTTGACTGAGATGAATTTTGTCATCTTTTCTATCGGATAAAAAAAATATTTTTTTTAAAATTTACTCAGAAAAATTTTTCTTTGTATATACACCATTCTGTACGTCTAAAAGATTTTTGACATTTGCCAAGAATGTTCGTTTAGAAGCTGCCATATAACCATACTCTTGACAATACTGTTTATACGAATCGTACAATGACCTTTCATCTAAACACTCAAAGTAGTTCATCTAAACAGTTCATATACACTCTTGTTTGCTTCTAACAATGTTTGTCTCTCTTCGGTATGTGGAATTTGTCTTGGATTGAACTTTGAAATATCTAATGTCATGAAATATGAGAACAAGTGGTTGTAAAAGTCAGATGTCAAAGTTTCTGCTAAGTCGTCAAAATATTCTGTATCTTGCATATGAGAATCTGACGTTCTGACAACTACATATCTTCTGTCAGAACTTTCTAACTTCATCGGAACGGCGTTGTTTGAAACCATGATGAAATTTGCAACATTTTCACAAACTCTTTGGTCTCTATACTTTCTTTCAACAACTCCAACTTTGTCTGTTATAAGACTCTTCAAAGCATCTGAGTTTAAAACTTTTGTTGTATCTATACTTTGAAGTTCGTTACATACTATAAGTTTCATATTCTCTATTGAAGAGTTAAATTTACCGCAGATGTTTTCTAAGTTTGTCATATTAGGGTTCGAATAGCCCTCTAACAGTTTGCATAAGATATCTGTAAAGAAAGTGTTCTTACCTGTTCCTTGTTTTCCAATTATGATGAGAGCAGTTTCATTTTTAGCACTTGGATGTTGTAAGATGTTTGCAAACCAACATAAGATATACTCATAGACTCTTTCGTTTCCATTGCATATAATTTCTTTGACATGGTCTAACCAAGCTTCTATAACATTTTCTTTCCATTCTACTTGTTCGTATTTATATCCAGTGAAGATAGAATAGAAGTTTGGAGAAGGTGTATAGAACTTTATACCACGAACTGAAAAATCTTCTAACTTTGACAATAAGATATCCCAAGCATCTAACATCTTCATACCAACTTGTACGACTTTTATTTTCTTAAGTTTCTGTTTACATTCTTGTTCTGAAACTATTGTCGCTCTTGGTTTGTTAAAGACTACATCCCATTCTTTCATGACATAACATTCTGGGGCAGAGTCGACGTAAATGACTAAACGTTTCAAATTCTCGACTGCTTTGTTATAGTCTCTAAATGGACACATATTTCTGAACGCTTGGAAGTCATAAAAATCTGAAACGTCTATTCTGTACATTTTTTTATAAAAATAAAAAAAATATTTTTTTATTCTTGAGCTATTTGTTGTTCTTGACTTTGTTGTTGCATTTGTTCCATTTGTTGCATTTGTTGTTCTTGAGCTATTTGTTGTTGAAGTTGTTCTTGTAGTACAATACTTTCACCAGTTGCATCTTCCAATTCGAAACTTTCTGCCGTCATTGACAAATACATAGGACATAAAAGTTTTACAGGAACAAAGTTTGCGTCAACTAAGGTTAAGTTTATGTTTGCTAAAGTGTTTGAGTTTACTAAAGCTGAAAACTCTGCATTCGAATGAACAATAGGCAAACCAGCAGAGAAAGTGTTGTTTATACGCATGAGTATCTTTTGGTCATAGTAGTTTCTGTCGACATTCGAATAGCACTTTGAACCTAAGTTTGAAACAATATATAAAATAGGTGTACTTAAAGTCAATGGAACAGACATTCCTTGTATGACACCTTTTCCTGTTATAGGAAACTGTTGGTAGTAAAAACCAGATATAAGTTTTGTATTATAGCTCATATCGTTTATACTAAACTCAGTCGGACATCCAAACATAATGAAACCTGCTCTAGTTGCAGCACATGTTACATCCGTCCTTAAAGTATTAAATAAGTCAACAAAACCTGTTGGTGGTATATCTGAGTAAGTATCTTCAAAGGAGTATTTTTTACCATTCACAACAACAAAGTCTTCTGGTGTCAAAAGAGCAAAACAGGCTTTAGTCGTCATCGTGTTTAAGGTCAGTTTACAATATCGTCCTTGAGGACTTTGTAAGTTTGTTGTTATAGAATTATATGACTCAGGGTTTTTAGTCGTAATAGTATAAACCACTATGTCTTCTGCCATTTACATATATTTAAAAGTTTTTCTGAAAGTGGAGAAGAACTTCATCTAAACTTTCACATGGCGTTTCTTGAAGTTCTCTGTCTAAGAAGTTCAAATATTTTGTAAAGACATAGAACTTTCCTTTGTCTACACGAACAAACAAAACAGGGTCTTTCATATCGTTCAAAAGTGTGTAAAGTCCTTTACATGAAATAAAGTCTATATTGTTTTTCTTCAAACATCTTTCAAGAAGTTTTGACATTTTTACTTAGCAAACAAACTTTAATGAAATGTTGTGGTCGTCAAATATTTTTATGACGTCTGGGAAACTATATTTTAAGTTCAACGTTTCACCTCCTTTCATAACGTATATCTTGTCAATGACATTGTATGAAACACCACAGCAAGCAATGTCGGGTTCTATTTCTTTGATGTTTATATCGTCTGCCTCTGTCAAAAGTTTCAATAGTTCTTTCAAAATTTCATGAGGTGCAATGACATATGAGTTCACTTTTACAGGGTTGTGTTCGACCAAGTTTAACATTAGACCTAAAGCTTGACAAATCTTCTCCTGAGTTTTAAGTTTGTCTTTAAGTTGTTGGTAGTCGTTTCGAATATCTGCAACAGAACTTAAGTCTCTGCTAACTTCAGGGTATGTTGGTTGTTCTTTTACAGGAACTATTGTTATACCATCTTCGTCTTCGTATGGTTTCCCCACTTCAACATCTCTTTCTTTGACATTGACAACAACACTTTGACTGTTTGTTTGAGTTGGTGAATTTAACTTCACATCTGCCACCGCCATTAAACCTTTTGAAACACTTACGCTTCTATTTTTCGGAAATGACATTTTACTTAGAATAAAAAGATGGACGTATTTGAGTATCTCTTCGAATTGAAGCAAAACAAAGTTTACACACACAAACAATACAAGTTCATTGATAGAATAGTTCTTTATACAAACAATGGAAAATGTTATAGAATAGCAGTCTTTGCTGAACCAAAATATTTTCATAAAGCAAAGAAAGTTGGTATAACCGAGATGGTGAAAGTTCTTGAAGCAGACAAAAATATAACAACAAAACTGACCGATATTTCTAAAGGAAAGTTTTAATACAATATTATATCAAAACTGGCGTACTGTCAATATTTGACGGAGAGAAGTCAGTTCAAGAACAACTTACTGACCTGCTGCCAAAATCTGCTCGATGGAAGCTGTCGTTATGCCAATCTGAGGAGCCCCAGCAGGTTTCATCGAACGAATCTTCAAAAGAGCATCTTCCGTGAAAAGTGCTATTGGTTTTGTAAACTTCTTTGCTTTCAATTCATCTGGACCGTCTCTGTCACCAGTATATTGTATTTGAACTGTACCAACAGTTGAAATACCACCCATAAAATCTTCTGAGTCAGCAAATGGAATGCCAAGCCAAAAGTTTGAACGGTCTCCATTTGTATATTGAGTTTTTGAGCTCCTGTATGAGTCCATACTTTCACATATGGCATAATAGAACTTTGCATTTCAGGGTTAATGGTTGTTGTGAAGTTGTTGTTAAAGTTCATAGCATCTAATGTCAAGTTGTATGACCTCATATCCTCAACTGTAGAATATTCTTCTCTTGGATAGTATTTGCCATCTATGTTTATATGATATTTAATACCGGGGTTGTAGAAGCAAGAATAGTCATTTATAGTTCGTCTGAACAGTACAAACATAGTATCTGCATGTTTCATTGCAGTTGTTAAGGCAATATCTGTTCTTGCACCTGGGTTAGCACTTTGGTTTCCAACTTCACCTGCAAAGTCTTTGACAGATATTTGGTGTATAGGGAACATAAGTGGAACTGCAATATATTTGGCAGCTAAAGCATTTGAAATATCTGGGTCCAACATATAGACTGCAAGTCTGCTTTCTATTCTCTTGCATTCAAACTTTTCGCATGTGAACTTAACTGGGTCCCAAGCAGTTCCAGCAGCATTGAAATAATAGTTTACTTCAGTGTTGAGGTTTGAGAAACCAAAGTCTAAGTCAACTTTGTCTTTGCAAAAGTCGGCGAATGACATTTTATTTGTTCCCACTACTTCTGTAAGAGTGAATGGGTCTTGTGTTGGTGCAATGACTAAGTTATTTTTGCTTGGAGTAAGTTCAATAGAAATTTTTCCTGCCCAGTTTGGCAAGTATCTTAAAAACCTGAAGATGAGGAAAGATGACAAAGGAACTCTAAGTTTCAGTTTTACTTTAGTGGACAGCATTTCCATCTGAACCAGAAAGGTTAACATAAACTCCTGGAACGTTAGGGTCAAGTCTTCTTATTTTCTCAATAGTTGCATACTGGTCTGTTTGTTCTCTAGCTTGTGGTTGTACTGAGTTTCTCAAAGCGAACCATTCATAGTTTGCCCATGTTACTGTTTGAACTAAGTCAGAGTTAGAATATATCTTATATCCCATGAAAACTTCTGGAGCATATTGGTATCCGACATAGAAAATTCCATTGCAACCTTTCTTGTCAGACAACTTGGCAGAAGGTTTTATTTCAATGTCTTGTTCCACGTATAAGAAAGAGTTGTCAATAGAAATAATATGAAACCTGTCGCAAGCAATATCTACTGTTGTTGAAGAACCTTCTCCAAACTCACCTACGTTTCCATAAGAAACAGCAGTTGTATATTCGTAAGTTCCAGGAACTATTTCTGACCTTCTAATGGCATTGTCGCATTCGTTATACCATTCGGAAACATTTCCATTCATAGCATCCAAAACTGTTGGCGTTATATTCTGAGCGGCGTACATTTCATATGGGTAAAAATATAGAATAGTTGGATTTATATGTCATAATAGAACCCACGTGGACCAAGCTTTACTTTCTTCCTGACTGAGTTTTTAACTCTTCTTTTTCCTTCATTGCCCTCTGCTTCAAGTTGTTGCATCTTTGCCTCATGTTCATCTAGTATGTTGCAAATTTTCCATGCCCTTTTTGCCTTTGGGCTCTGGTCGCCCATCTCAGGTAACCTATATCCTAGAAAGAGTTTGTCATAGTTTGTATTTGAGTCTTTGCGTATTGTTTGCATGACTCTTTCCTGAGTTTCCGGTTCAAGCTCTTCAAACAGTGCCTGTCCATATGGAATAAGCTCGTTTCCAAATATATGTTTTTGTAGCCATTCTGGTTTTCTTTCCATGTTACCAACTATATCTTTTGTGAATGGGAAAGCTTTTACCCAATCTTTCAGTCTTGCGTCGTTTATTTCTGTAGTTGGTTTTATTTTGTCAAGGAACATGTTTTTCAATACTAACATTTCATTTGGTACTGTCCATTTGAGTTTACTTAAATATTCATCCCTTCTCGGTTCATTGTCTGCAAAGTAAGTTTTTATGACATTTTGTAAACTTTCGTTTGCAAGGTCATGTACAATAGGTTCTCTTCCTTCTCTCTCCCTAACTCTCTTTCTAAACTCTTCACCAAATATACCATCTTTATGGTTCTGTGTAGTTCTTTGAGATAAATGTTCTAGAACGTCAGGTTTATATTTCCATCAGCCATGTTCATTTCATACTGGTCCAAAATATCTGCATGTTTCATATCTTTCAATGGCATTAAAGCCGCGCTTAAAATACCAGCTATATCTCGTTCACCATTGACTTCCATTGCGTCTACAACTTCTTGGAATTGTGGTTGTAAGTTTATGAACCACCTATCCGGATTAGCTTTATGACCCCATCTCATTGTAGTTCCATCGTCTGCAGAAACAAAAGTAGGTTTGTTTCCATCTTGGTTAGGTTCTGAATGAACTTTAAACAATGTTTCATTTCTATATGTTTTCTTGAAATTTAACCTTTTATTTTCACCGAGTTCATCCAAAGATTGAACGTTAAATGCTCGTAAGTAAAAAGGGTTGTTGTATTTGTGTACATTTTCTTTCAGTACTTCCATTCTATGCTGAATATTTTCATCTGGTGTTGGAGTCTTTTGTATGTCGGCAAACATTTTTCGATATTCTTCTACTATGTCAGCCGAATTTTTTTTAGACTCTTGGAAATATTCCATATTCTCCGCATACACTTGTTGAGGGTCAAGATTTTTCGGCTGTTCCAAATCTTCATCTAGTTCTGTGAGGTTAGTTTCCAAAGGAGGGACTTGTTCGTTTCCTTCAGGCTCTTCTAGCTGTTGTTGCTGAACTATTTCTTCCATGTCTGGTTGTATCTGAACTAGTTCTTCCTGTGGAGTTTCTTGTACCTCATCTGCTGGCATTTCATATATTCCGAGACCGTTTTCAACAATTTCCCTATCTACGTCATCCGCATTCATAAGCTTTTGTTCTTTCGTTCCGTCTCTATTTTTTACGCGTTTCATGACGAAAGTTGAATTGTCATTTAGCTCTGACATCAAATATCTCGGAGTAAATTCATCCATGTCATTTGGATGATATGCTATTAAATCATATCCCTTAGCGAGCTTGTATTTTCCAGGTTTGAGATTATATCCGTTTTGGTGCTGAGCCATAAAGCTAAATAGGTTCGGGTCAGTATTTCCATCCTTGAACTTTCCAATAGCTTCTTTATATCTGTCACTAAAGTCAACAGTATCTGGGAAACCACACTCTTCTTTAAGCATTTTTAAGAATTCTTGGTTTCCTTGTTCTCTACTTCTTTTATGTCCTTGCTCTGTTTGTGGTTGTTGTTGTGCAGGGTTTTGAACTGTTGGTTGCTGTGCAGGGTTCTGAACTGTTGGTTGCTGTGCTGGTTGTGGAGGTGGTTGTTGTGCAGGGTTTTGAACTGTTGGTTGTTGTGCATGCCTGTGTCTGTGTCCATGTGACGATGTAAATGTTTTAGGTAGTCCTGGTGCAGGTGCTTCTCTTGGAGGGTTTGGTGGTATATAAGTTCCACCAGCTGGCACATATGTTCCATCTGCAGCGTAATGTCCTACCTGACTTTTCGTTTTTAAGAAAGCATTTACTAGGTCTGTTTTGGTCTGTTGTAACTCTTTTTCTTGACTTTCCACAACAGTTGCTCTAACGGCGTCATAGGCACTTTGAACTGCCTGTCTCGTTGCTGCATCTGTTATTTTCGTCATATTTTGTGCTACTTCTTTTAACTCTTTGTCGAAACCTTCAGACTTCAGTTTCTTTCCAGATGAGAAGTCGTTCACTAGTTTCACCTTACTATGAAGAGCTTCGAAGGCATTCTTAAAGTCAGCATTCATTAAAGCTTCATTTGAACTGTCTTCATCCGCTTGTATTTTTGTCCTTATTGACCCTATGAGTTGGGCTGCTTTAGCGTTGGCTTGGGCATCTAACCAGTCATTGTTGGCTTTTATATATTCTGCGCTTTTCATTGCCTTTTGCATAGCCGCGTCGTTATTTTTACTTTCTTGTGCTAAGTTTTCATACTGTACGGTTTGGTTTTGCAACTGTAAAAGTTTTTCTGCCTTTACATTTGCTTCAACTTCTTTTTTATACTCATCGCTATCCATATATGTCTTCAGGGCTTTTTGTTTTATTTCTTCATCTTTCAGTACTTTCTATTGAGTAGTATGGTTTTTCAAATTTATAACATCTTGTTCCATTTTTGCTACTTCTGCTGCTTTTTCTGACACTTTTTTCGCATATTCCTCTGTACTTAGTTCTTTCAGTTGTTCTTCTTTCTTCTTTTTCTCTACGTTTAACTCATTGAGTTTCTTTGTGTGTCTGTCATATTCTAGTTTCTTTTCGTTTTCACTTATTTGTTTCTGTATGTCTATGTTTGACTTTTTGACATCTGTTATTTGATTTTTGAGTGAACTCAAATTCATTTGACTTTGAGGGTTATAAGCTGTTCCATCTGCAGCTCCACCATAGCCTGCCATTTTCGCTAAAAGTGCCGCTCTTAAACCTCCACTCTGTGCACCAACAACTCGGTTTAAAAGCATAGGATTGCTTGACATTTGTTGCAACATAGTGGGGTCATTCAGCATTTGTTGTTGCAACTGTTGTTGTGGTGTCAGTTTTACTATTGGATGTTTCAATGCTCTCTTCCTCTTACGTATATTCTTACGTAGCTTACGTGGCATTTTAAGTGAAGTTAAAAAGCGGTTTTTGACAGATGTTTATATGACACTTTTTGTTCAGCACAAAAAACTACTCGGTCAAAGTGTTGTCAGTTTTGTAAAATAACCGTCCTATCTCAATCTATAAGGGAAAAAGGCTTCTCAAAGTATACTTCCTTGGAACGCCTGTAACTTTTCCTGTAGCGACGATAGACCCTTACTTGTCCGGACAAAGCTGTACTATTTTGAGTGCTCTACAAAAAAGTCAACGGCGACGACTCTCAAAAACCGTTGTGTAAAAAGTTTTACCGTTGGACAAAAAAGTATATATAGAAAACAAAAAACGTTTATAGTTCATTCAATATTTGAGATGGAACGGTTTGCCAACGGTAACTATTAAATAAAATAAAAAAATAGAGGGGGTTACCGTTGACGAAAACGGTTTATCTCAAACTCTTATTTGAAAAAAATAAAGTGGTTGGCCTTTTTCACTTCATTTTAGCTCAATGTCATACCAAGACAGTAGCGATTCCGATTCAACTATCCAGGAAGAGGATTATCATCCTACACGGTCACTCCCAGTCCCAGATGACACTCCAAAGACTCGCTTTGACCCCGAGCAATCTAACTTCCAATTGCGCCAACAATTGCAGTCAAAAGCTGATGAATACATGGCTTCTTCTATAGAAGAAAGTATAGAACAGACCTCAGAGTATTCTACAGCTCTTGGTCAACTAGTTTCGGCGACAGTCCAATTCGAACAAATTTGTTCGAATTCAATTCAATATGCAGACGAACTTGTCCGCTATTGTCCCACTCTTGTAAGAGTACTTCAAGAACGACTCTTCAACCAGTTGCTTCCTACCTTACGCAGCCCAATTCAAATTCAATTTGCCCGTGCAGCCATAAACTTCACTCCGTACTCGTACAGCTATGACCAGGATGAACTAGCTGACGAGTACGGAGCCGAAAATGTTGCCTGGGTTTTTCGCACAACTCCTTGCGAATTCCAAGTTGAAATTGTCAACCATTTCCTCGTTCGTACTATTTCGTTACAGAATGAAGACAACGAAAGAGATGGAGTCATTCCAGGTGACCGTGTGAGAGTCATTTTCCAACGCAAAAGTGGACAAGAAATTGTATTCGAAGAATTGGTTTGCATATTCTTTAGCAATGGTCAAGCCTACTGGGAAGGAAACTTGGTATTAGTCCCCGGTGAAACCATTTCTGTTTCATCGGATTTGAACCATCCATACAAGATATGGTTCAATTACGTTGCATATAACGCAGAAGACCCGAACTTTGACTCAGAATAAAAACTTCATTTTATACTAACATCTTCGGGGCTAGAGGGCACGAAGTGCCTGGAAGCCCCAATACCTTTTTTTTTTTTTTTTTGCAGCCGAAGCACACTCACAAATTACTCTCAATATCCACTCAAATCATACAAAGTTTTGTTGAATAGTTTGATATAAAGACAAAAAATTTACAATTTTTAATTAAATCCGAACAATCTTACATATGCAGCCGAAGCACACTCACAAATTACTCTCAATATCCACTCAAATCATACAAAGTTTTATATTTTCATTTTATTGTTTCTTAATAAAGAATTTACTTTAATATTCTTAATTGTTTTCTTTTTTATATTTAATTTTCGATATCTATTTTAAAAAACTTATACAAATTCGAGTCAGCTAATAATTTAATTGAAAAAATAAAAAGAAAACGAGTGCGGGACAAATTTGCCAGGTGTCACTTTTTCAATAACCTTAAATTACGCTTTTCTAATTTTTAAAAAATAACCTTAAATTATATTTGAAGAAATTATGTCTATGATATATGTTTTATGCTAGAATCTTGGAGTTTTCATGCACTACACAAGAGCTCCAAGGTTCCAAGAGTGAATGCTCAATAGCAATTATAGAGATGTACCTTTTCAAAATGACTTTTACTGATTAAATTTAATCAATAGAAGACATTTTGAAAAGGTACCTCTACAATTAGATATACAAGAGATTCAAAGCTTCATTTCAGATAGATTTGAAACTTTGAAACTCTTGGTAGATTTTGAGTGAATGCTGACAATCATCTTTGAGAAGGTTTTCTTAAAGAAAACCTTCTCAAAGAGGTTACTCAGGAGCCCTGAGGCTCCCTTTCGTAATGATTGGGAGCCTTGGGGCTCCTGAGACGAAGAATGGCTTCGCCGAATCTTTGATCAGCAGAGGCCAAATGAAAAGGCCTCTGCTGATGGATTCTCAGGAGCCCTGAGGCTCCCTTTCGTAATGATTGGGAGCCTTGGGGCTCCTGAGACGAAGAATGGCTTCGCCGAATCTTTGATCAGCAGAGGCCAAATGAAAAGGCCTCTGCTGATGGATTCTCAGGAGCCCTGAGGCTCCCTTTCGTAATGATTGGGAGCCTTGGGGCTCCTGCAGCAGAGTATCGCTCCGCTCCATTAAATTTTTTAAAAAAAGTGCCGTGTGGCAAATTTGTCCTGTTCCCCATCTTTATTATTTTTTTTATTCCTTTGAAAAGTGACACTGGATAGTTTGTCCCTTTCTCAAAAGAAAACATATAATTTTTAATCCGTCTAATTGAATAAGCAATATTATAAATATTATGTTAAACGGTTAATTTTTTCTCAAAAAAAATTATTTCGAATTTCCGAAATTTTTGACATTTTGGCTGAGAACTATGGTCTGCGAGGTACTGATTCTATCCATGTACCTCGCAGACTATAGTTCTCTATATGGCGCCGAAAATTTTTGGTGAAATGTCGTCGCATTTCACCAAAAATTTTTCGGCGCCATAGGAAGAATTGGAGGGTGTGAGATACTATTACATGCTATAGTACTCACACCCTCCAACTCCCAATCAAAATCGCATAAAATTTGCTACTTATCTTCAGATTACCTCCCATTATAAAATATATCATTGCTATCTCATCGTACTATATTTCCACCCTATTGTATTTAAAAATATAAAATTTTTTGATAATATATTTTTATATCTTGAATTTTCAAACAATATATTCACAGATAATATAATGGGAAATCTATCTCAACCTAGCCTTCAAGTACCAAACTCCTGCTTGCATTCTCACTCACAAATATTAAACATCCATCTCCAAAAAACTAAATTCTTCACAATTTTTTAAAATTGAGAACATAAAAAACGTATGCATTCAATAATTTAAGATACTAACAAATATTAAAAACTTCAAAATATCAGATATTAACGTTTTTCAATTAAAAAAATATCATTTTGCTTTTCAATTCGAACATAAATCTTAAATATTTTTAATTAATATCTGACTTACAGCATTATTATCCATTTATAAATCTGACAAATAAATGACAAAACCATCAGAAATAGTGTCACTTTTGTCAAAAGTGAAGTCACACTATTTTTCATGCACAACAATAATTCATTAGAATATGATAATGCACATTGTAACAGAATAGAACAATCACCAAATTTTTTTTGAAATTAAAAACTAAAATTAACAAGTATGAAGTAATCTAACCAAAAAAGATATTTAAAAGAATTTTGGAAAAAACAGAATAAGGATAATGATATTATTTTAGATACACAATCGATGTACTGAAGAATAATCCGGTAAAATGATGATATAAAATTAGATTATTTTACAAGTAGCTAAAAGAATAAAACTATAATATAAAATAAATGAAGTTTAATGAAACAATAAAGGTTAAATAAATAATAAAGATTTTTATTTTATATCAGTATTGAGAAGAAGTAACAGCTGACACTTGGTAGACAACTTCTTTATGTCTAGAAAATTCTATCTTGCCTTTTATTTTTTTTCTCGCTGTGAAACGTATTCGGTCATTTTTTTAAAAATTAATTTTTTGTTAGAGATAAGAGCTAAAACTCGGTAAACAACTTCTTTATGTCTAGAAAATTCTATCTTGCCTTTTATTTTTTTCTCGCTGTGAAACGTATTCGGTCATTTTTTTAAAAATTAATTTTTTGTTAGAGATAAGAGCTAAAACTCGGTAAACAACTTCTTTATGTCTAGAAAATTCTATCTTGCCTTTTATTTTTTTCTCGCTGTGAAACGTATTCGGTCATTTTTTTAAAAATTAATTTTTTGTTAGAGATAAGAGCTAAAACTCGGTAAACAACTTCTTTATGTCTAGAAAATTCTATCTTGCCTTTTATTTTTTTCTCGCTGTGAAACGTATTCGGTCATTTTTTTAAAAATTAATTTTTTGTTAGAGATAAGAGCTAAAACTCGGTAAACAACTTCTTTATGTCTAGAAAATTCTATCTTGCCTTTTATTTTTTTCTCGCTGTGAAACGTATTCGGTCATTTTTTTAAAAATTAATTTTTTGTTAGAGATAAGAGTTAAAACTTTGCAGACAACTCCCCCATGTCTAGCAAATTTAACATTCGTCTCCCATTTTTATATATTTGGTTTAGAATGTTCGAAAATGCGTAATATGGTCATTAATATTAATTGAAAAGAACCTTGAATTAATTCAATCTGATCTCACAAAATATTTTAAATTACAAACTTTGTAGTTTGAATAGATAATTAGTATTAAACTCAAATAACTAGTTTATTTTTGAATAAAAATTATTTGAATTTATTCAATTTTGTGAATTTTCCTTCAAAAATCAAGTTTAAATATCTTATTTGCCATATAATTATAAATACAATGAAACATATTCGAAATTGAAAAGAATGACTTTTTCTGTTCTTTCAATCATTCAATTTGAATTTTGCAATATTGGATTTCTCATTGAATAGCTATTAAAAACAACAAGCAATTTAACTTACATTCAAATTTATTTGTGTTATATTCAATCTTCTAAAAACTTATAATTTTCGGCTATAGCATGATTATATGCTATATAATATAATAAACCTATAATAGTATCATTCTTTCAATTATTTGAAGAGAAAACCGAAAAAATCTATTTTCGGTCTATAACATCTGAACGACTTTGTTATCAATACGGGATTTAAAAGAACTCAATAGGTACAACGATGCATTCATGGACTCATCGTTTCCAATATTGATGAAAATAGAGATATGCTATCGGAATTCCATGATGGAAAATTTAAGATCATTTTTCAATGAATGAGGTTCAAAATTTCAATACTTCCGAAATTAATTCAATTGTTGGAAATTTCATGAAGACTCTCCGATTATTTCATCGTGCTTTGCTATTTTCTGGATCATTGCCTCAATGAAACTACTTAAGGGTAAAAGATGCTTATGTAACGGATAAAAGCAAGATAATAATCCTATAAATAGTTAAATTTCAGTTGTCATTTCATTAATGCAATCGAAGAAGAAAACAAATAATCATAATTGTAAAATTGATTATATATAGAGATAATAGCTATATTATCAGAATCAATCAAGCCAAACATGGAAAATGAAAACAAAAAAAATGCGATTAAAGCTTTAATGAATCGCTAATACAATTGGTTATCCGAATTTTGAATTATTATCTACAATACAGTAATCCAAATTGATACCTAAAAATTCTTTTGTAAGTTTCAAGGATTATTCAAATTAATTTAGAAATTTGAATTTTTGCCATATTCATAGGAATAACGCCATCCTTGACCCAAAAAATCAATTGCATTAAACTGATTCCTTTTCCATAGATATTCAGTTAAGAATTAAAAAAAATGATAATTGCTTATCATTTCAATCAAAATGCCTTTCGAAATAGTACACAAATAATATCTCAAAACTGTTAAAAAAAGCAGCAAGATGATTTTATTCAAATTATGTAAAAAAAAATTATATTGAATATATAGTATATCTGTTTGTTGATACTAAGTGCTCTTACTTCCTTGTTGTTAGTAGAAAATTGTTATAAAATAAAATGATTTATGAAAATGGTCCTGTTAGGTTCAACAAAATTCGTTAAACTTACTCAATCTGTGTTGTAATCAAAATATTGTCTTATAAAATTAAATGATTGATTTTTTGATAATAATGATTTATTTGAAAAGTGACATTGTCGATCAAAATTATTTTGCATCGGATAATTGTTAAGTATGGGGTGAAACATTTTGCTGGCTTTTTTTGACATATCTATTATTTTGAAAGAAATGTGTTTTGAATTGAATCTTTTCAATTTTTTGATAATTTACTTTGAAAATATGATATAAAATATCTAGAAAAATTTATCAATTAGCTTTTTTGAAATAATTGAATTATGTTTTTTATTGAGTCAAATATAGTGGTAGTACTACTGTATCATTATTTCGCTTTCTATTTAAAACAATTTCGTATTGAATTTTTTAAAAAAATCACTATTGCGTACTAAATTAATCAAAAACATTAAAAAATCAGTGAAAATCTTTAAAATCATTAAATTAAGGTAATTTAAAATTTTGAGAATTTTTGTTTCTAATATTTTTAAACTAATGATTAGATTGATGCAGATGTCTTGTGTTGTTTCAATGATCTCCGATCTATTCTTACAGCGATAATTTTCAAAAGGAAAGAGCAATTTTTGACATCAATTTGAAAAAATTTCCTCTCAATATTTGATCGACTCTCAATTTAAATTCAAAAGTAAATCTTTAAAATTCCATCATGATACAGTATCTGTAAATAATCGGAAGATTTTATCCATTCAATAGTTGTTTATTTTGAAGTAAAAATAATCGTTATTTCTGAGGCAATGAGTAATACAAAAAAATCACAAGTTTCCCAATTGAAAGATATAGAAATAATTTTTTTATGGAAGATGACCAACAAGGCCAAAGGATTGTCATTATACGGGAGCCCCCGAAAAAGAGGATATCGGACGAGTACTCTGAGTTTAGGAAGAAGATGGACATTCGGCGACGAAAGGTGAGCAAATTATATCCATTCGTGGAAAAATTTCTGAATTCATTTCCAAAATTAAAAAGGCGTACTGACATCATGAAATTAGCATTAAGAATAGGTGAACTGGTTCAAATTCCTGTTGATAGGAATGCAAAAAGATTAAATGAGCCATTGATATGCTGGTTTTGCGAGAATTGGCAGTTAGTGTCAAAATTAGTTCTTCCTACTTATGTTGAATTGTTTATGCAGCCAGAAGTTGTCGATGTAAATCCTCAAAATGTAGAAAATGATCAAGATATACAAAAACTAGACCAGGAGATTCAAAAGATCATGCAGGAAATTGGGGATATGGACCAATTTGAAATTGATGTCGATAATATTAATTTAAGTCGTTCTGAATCAAGTGATACTTCTGGACCGAATCCACAATAGAGCATATTATCGCTACGTTTTACATCATTAGATTTGTTCCATTTAGCAAATCTAATGTATTTTTTTATAGATTATCATAAATTTAGTTGAACAATTCGTTAACTATTTGGGAATAATTTTGAATCATTTTTTTACCAATCGATTTCATAATCCTTTACTTACAAATTTGATTGAAATCCCAAAGAAACCTGTATTTCACAATGAACAATGGTAAGTCAAAAAAATCAAATGTGAGTTCATTTCAAGAATCAAATAATCTCATATCATTAACTTATTTTCCTTAACTAGACCTAGAAAATAAAAAATCAAAATTTTGTTAAATTCCTAATGATGATTTTTTAAATCGATGCAAACTATGCATTAATAGAATCAATTGAGGTGTACTATTAAGCAGCTTAACTCTGAATTTATTGTAAAATTGTTGATGATTAAATATAGAAAAATAGTACTATATTTGATTCGATATTGAGAAATTGAAAATCGTTTTTAGAATTCAGAAATTTTTCAAGTTAAATCCTAAACTTTTTATTTAAATGGAAGTTATTATATACATGTAGAAATCTCTCGCGTATGATTATATTTCAATGAAAACTTAATCACGGAAAGTAATCCTTTTTTCTAAGTTTGTTGAATTTTGATAATATAATAGGCGCCAGGAATACAATTAAATATGAACTGCAATTTATTTCATAATTTTTTTTCAGCAGGTTATGAAGAAATACATCATATAATATCAGTTAAGAATAGCATGAAAAGTTATTTATTGAAAGGATAAAGCTTGAGACAATACTCCATTCAAATTTGAATTCAAAAGTGAAGATTTACAAGCTTTAGTTAGCTTCGCTGGATTATCCTAGTGGCCCTTGCCAAACTAAGACAATGCAAAAACGATTTGGATTAAATTCATGTGAATCAAAGATGAGCTAAAAGCTACCAGAGCTTCTGGCTATTTTAAAGGAGATATCTGACATAATATTTTAAGATTTTTGTAGAATTCTGGAATTTTATTCCAACAAATCTTCATTCTGGTTTAACCCAACGATGTGCTAACGTTGGTGTAAGTAGTTGAGAGATGTTGCCTTTGAATTTTAGCAAATCACTCCAATGTCAAGTAAATTTTTGTTTGAGTGTCATGTTTTCAAGAGCAGATCAGACGACAACAACTCACCTTTGCTTTATTAAGAATGGCTCTATTATCAAGGCGTATTTTGTTCTACAAACTTCATGATTTGGATACTCAAAAATCTCATATTTCCTGTATGAATCGAAATTTCAGATTTCTTTATTAAGCCCGAATAGATTGAAATTACCAAAAATCGTATATTCATATAAGTTAATGCGAACCCACTATTGGCATTCCAAAAATTATGCACATTGAAATGGAATTGAATAAACAATTTATTGAATTATTCATAAATTTGATGAATATTGAAAATACCCATCGAGAGGTATCTTATTTGATTCCCCATTACAAGATATCTTTAAGTTGATAAAATGATGATTTAACATATCTGGTAATGCCAAAGCTAAATAATCTTATTGGGTCATAAAAACGTAATATTTTCAATTTTATAAAACTTTGTTATTATTGAATTTGAAATTGAAATAATTTAGCCTTTTATTTTAATATAAATGATTTGGTAAATTCTGCTTGTTATGTATATTTTAAATCATATTAAAAATAAAAGAATAACATAATATTTCAAAGATATTAATTTTATTAGCAGAATATTAATATTAGCGATCATTAACTAGATCACACTAAAGTCATAGCTTTATGCTAATTATCTGCTTAATCAAAAATACTCAATAAAGGAATATTTCATCTATGATTTTTATGTCAAATTCCAATTGAATAAAAATTAAGTTTTGAGAAAAATATGTTATATAAACCATGTTAATGTGAATTTCATGATAAATTAATTTCAGCCATGATATTTTGAGAAGTCTTTCAATTTGGCAAATAAGAAATAATTAATAAATTATTATTGCCAATTTATGGTATATAATGTTATATTGAAATTGATTTAAAATAATTGAATGAAATTCTGCGATATTCAATTAACTACTTCTCAAATTTATTTACATGAATGGTCATGATTTATTTTATTGAAAAAGTCGACAAAAATGAGAATTTTCATATATAAATGTTTAATGTATAAGGATAGAAAGGCTATTAATACAACAGCACTTAGTTATCTAAAGAATTTTAAAAAAGATCACCAAAAATACCGAAATTATTTGACTCATCTCCAAATGAGAATAAATCTGTACTAAAGTCAAGATCAGCGAATGCTTGATAGACTTCTGGTTTCGAAGGTTGCTGGTTATTATTACTGTTTTCTTCTTCTAATTTTGGTTTTTCTTTAGAGAGCTCGTAGCAAAGCTTTCTATATCTATTTCTGCATTGTATATCATTTCTTCTCCTGAAAAATAGAGAAATTTGTCTCCATTTAGGGGATAGTTTTGGTACGAGTTCGAGTAATAGTTTATCTTCTTCTGGAGTCCATGGATCCTTGTTTACGCTTGGGTCTAAGAATCTAACATATCTGTCCATACATTGTCTTGGGGATCTACCATGCATTTTTTTAGATATCATCTTCCAATTACCTTTAGTTCCATATTCTTCGACAAGACGTACAAGTTTGTCATCTTCCTGTTGCGTGAATCTATTATAAACTGGCATCTTGGTTCGAGTTTAAAAAGTGTCATACCGAAAAAGAATGAGTCAAATTCAAAATATATAATCCTATATTAATGAGAAACATATTTATTGAGTAAGCAAACAAAATAAATTGATAGAAAAATTTAATGCCAAAAAAATAATGCAATAGGTCAGGTATGTGGGGCTTCCAGGGGCTGCGCCCCTTCTAGCCCTAAGAATTTTGCCCAAGACCCAAGAGGAGGACCGAACCCCAGCCGACCAGCCGGTGATAAAAACCAAAACCGTTTTTAAAAAGTGACAGACAACTCCGTTTTTTAAAAGTGACAAAACCGTTTTTCACTATATAAGAGATATGCAAACAAAAAAGTGACAGCCGCATGTTTTAAACTACAAAAACCGCTTTTTAACTTCACTTAAAATGCCACGTAAGCTACGTAAGAATATACGTAAGAGGAAGGGAGCATTGAAACATCCAATAGTAAAACTGACACCACAACAACAGTTGCAACAACAAATGATGAATGACCCCACTATGTTGCAACAAATGTCAAGCAACCCTATGCTTTTAAACCGAGTTATTGGTGCACAGAGTGGAGGTTTAAGAGCGGCACTTTTAGCGAAAATGGCAGGCTATGGTGGAGCTGCAGATGGAACAGCTTATAACCCTCAAAGTCAAATGAATTTGAGTTCACTCAAAAATCAAATAACAGATGTCAAAAAGTCAAACATAGACATACAGAAACAAATAAGTGAAAACGAAAAGAAACTAGAATATGACAGACACACAAAGAAACTCAATGAGTTAAACGTAGAGAAAAAGAAGAAAGAAGAACAACTGAAAGAACTAAGTACAGAGGAATATGCGAAAAAAGTGTCAGAAAAAGCAGCAGAAGTAGCAAAAATGGAACAAGATGTTATAAATTTGAAAAACCATACTACTCAATAGAAAGTACTGAAAGATGAAGAAATAAAACAAAAAGCCCTGAAGACATATATGGATAGCGATGAGTATAAAAAAGAAGTTGAAGCAAATGTAAAGGCAGAAAAACTTTTACAGTTGCAAAACCAAACCGTACAGTATGAAAACTTAGCACAAGAAAGTAAAAATAACGACGCAGCCATGCAAAAGGCAATGAAAAGCGCAGAATATATAAAAGCTAATAATGACTGGTTAGATGCCCAAGCCAACGCTAAAGCAGCCCAACTTATAGGGTCAATAAGGACAAAAATACAAGCGGATGAAGACAGTTCAAATGAAGCTTTAATGAATGCTGACTTTAAGAATGCCTTCGAAGCTCTTCATAGTAAGGTGAAACTAGTGAACGACTTCTCATCTGGAAAGAAACTGAAGTCTGAAGGTTTCGACAAAGAGTTAAAAGAAGTAGCACAAAATATGACGAAAATAACAGATGCAGCAACGAGACAGGCAGTTCAAAGTGCCTATGACGCCGTTAGAGCAACTGTTGTGGAAAGTCAAGAAAAAGAGTTACAACAGACCAAAACAGACCTAGTAAATGCTTTCTTAAGAACGAAAAGTCAGGTAGGACATTATGCTGCAGATGGAACATATGTGCCAGCTGGTGGAACTTATATACCACCAAACCCTCCAAGAGAAGCACCTGCACCAGGACTACCTAAAACATTTACATCGTCACATGGACACAGACACAGGCATGCACCAAAACCAACACAACAACCAACAGTTCAAAACCCTGCACAGCAACAACAACCAGAGCAAGGACAACAACCAACACAACAACCAACAGTTCAAAATCCAACACAACAACCACCTCCACAACCAGCACAGCAACAACCACAACCAGCACAGCAACCAACAGTTCAAAACCCTGCACAACAACAACCACAAACAGAGCAAGGACATAAAAGAAGTAGAGAAAAAGGAAACCAAGAATTCTTAAAAATGCTTAAGGAAGATTATGGTTACCCAGATACTCTTGACTTTAGTGACAGATATAAAGAAGCTATTAGAAAGTTCAAGGAAGGAAATACTGACCCGAACCTATTTAGCTTTATGGTTCAGCATCAAATGGGATATAATCTCAAACCTGGAAAATACAAGCTCGCTAAGGGATATGATTTAATAGCATATCATCCAAATGACATGAATGAATTTACTCCGAGATATTTGGTGTCAGAGCTAAATGATAATTCAACTCTCTTCATGAAACGCGTAAAAAATAGAGACGGAACGAAAGAAGAAAGGTTTATGAGTCCGGATGACTTAGATAGGGAACTTGTTAAAAACGGTCTCGGAATATATGAAATGCCAGCAGATGAGGTACAAGAAACTCAACAGGAAGAAGTTCAGATACAACCAGACATGGAAGAAATAGTTCAGCAACAACAGCTAGAAGAGCCTGAAGGAAACGAACAAGTCCCTCCTTTGGAAACTAACTTCACAGAACTAGATGAAGATTTGGAACAGCCGAAAAATCTTGACCCTCAACAAGAGTATGAGGTGAATATGGAATCTTTCCAAGAGTCTAAGAAAAATTCGGCTGACATAGTAGAAGAATATCGAAAAATGTTCGCCGACATACAAAAGACTCCAACATCAGATGAAAATATTCAGCATAGAATGGAAGTACTGAAAGAAAATGTACGCAAATACAATAATCCTTTTTACTTACGACCATATAAAGTTCAATCTTTGGCTGAACTCGGTGAAAATAAAAGGTTAAATTTCAACAAAACATATAGAAATGAAACATTGTTTAAAGTTCATTCAGAACCTAACCAATATGGAAACAAACCTACTTTTGTTTCTGCAGACTATGGAACTACAATGAGATGGGGTCATAAAGCTAATCCGGATAGGTGGTTCATAAACTTACAACCACAATTCCAAGAAGTTGTAGACGCAATGGAAGTGAATGGTGAACCAGATATAGCTGGTATTTTCAGCGCGGCTTTAATGCCATTGAAAGATATGAAACATGCAGATATTTTGGACCAGTATGAAATGAACATGGCTGATGGAAATATAACACCTGACGTTCTAGAACATTTATCTCAAAGAACTACACAGAACCATAGAGATGGTATATTTGGTGAAGAGTTTAGAAAGAAAGTTAGGGAGAGAGAAGGAAGAGAACCTATTGTACATGACCTTGCAAACGAAAGTTTGCAAAATGTCATAAAAACTTACTTTGCAGACAATGAACTGAGAAGGGATGAATATTTAAGAAAACTCAAATGGACAGTACCAAATGAAATGTTAGTATTGAAAAACACGTTCCTTGACAAAATAAAACCAACTACAGAAATAAATGACGCAAGACTGAAACATTGGGTAAAAGCTTTCCCATTCACAAAAGATATTATTGGTTACATGGAAAGAAAACCAGAATGGCTACAAAAACATATATTTGGAAACGAGCTTATTCCATATGGACAAGCTCTGTTTGAAGAGCTTGAACCGGAAACTCAGGAAAGAGTCATGCAAACAATACGCAAAGACTCAAATACAAACTATGACAAAATCTTTCTAGGATATAGGTTACCTGAGATGGGCGACCAGAGCCCAAAGGCAAAAAGGACATGGGAAATTTACAACATACTAGGTGAACATGAGGCAAAGATGCAACAACTTGAAGCAGAGGGCAAGTTACCAAAAGCGACACCAAAGAAGAAGAGTAGAACAAAGTGAAAGTAGTGAAGAAGTAACTTCATCTAGTGAAAGTAGTGGCAATGAAGGAAAAAGAAGAGTTAAAAACTCAGTCAGGAAGAAAGTAAAGCTTGGTCCGAAACAATTATGACACATAAATCCAACTATTCTATATTTTACCCATATGAAATGTACGCCGCTCAGAATATAACGCCAACAGTTTTGGATGCCATGAACGGAAATGTTTCCGAATGGTATAACGAATGCGACAATGCCATTAGAAGGTCAGAAATAGTTCCTGGAACTTACGAATATACAACTGCTGTTTCTTATGGAAACGTAGGTGAGTTTGGAGAAGGCTCTTCAACAACAGTAGATATTGCTTGCGACAGGTTTCATATTATTTCTATTGACAACTCATTCTTATACGTGGAACAAGACATTGAAATAAAACCTTCTGCCAAGTTGTCTGACAAGAAAGGTTGCAATGGAATTTTCTATGTCGGATACCAATATGCTCCAGAAGTTTTCATGGGATATAAGATATATTCTAACTCTGACTTAGTTCAAACAGTAACATGGGCAAACTATGAATGGTTCGCTTTGAGAAACTCAGTACAACCACAAGCTAGAGAACAAACAGACCAGTATGCAACTATTGAGAAAATAAGAAGACTTGACCCTAACGTTCCAGGAGTTTATGTTGACCTTTCTGGTTCAGATGGAACTGCTGCCACTAAAGTAAAACTGAAACTTAGAGTTCCTTTGTCATCTTTCCTCATCTTCAGGTTTTTAAGATACTTGCCAAACTGGGCAGGAAAAATTTCTATCGAACTTACTCCAAGCAAAAATAACTTAGTCATTGCACCAACACAAGACCCATTCACTCTTACAGACGTAATGGGAACAAATAAAACGTCATTCGCCGAATTTTGCAAAGGCAAGGTTGACTTAGACTTTGGTTTCTCAAACCTCAACACTGAAGTAAACTATTATTTCAATGCTGCTGGAGATGCTTGGGACCCAATTAAGTTCACATGCGAAAAATTTGAATGCAAGAGAATAGAAAGCAGACTTGCAGTCTATATGTTGGACCCAGATATTTCAAATGCTTTAGCTGCCAAATATATTGCAGTTCCACTTATGTTCCCTATACACCAAATATCTGTCAAAGACTTTGCAGGTGAAGTTGGAAACCAAAGTGCTGACCCAGGTGCAAGAACAGATATTGCTTTAACAACTGCAATGAAACATGCAGATACTATGTTTGTACTGTTCAGACGAACTATAAATGACTATTCTTGTTTCTACAACCCTGGTATTAAATATCATATAAACATAGATGGTAAATATTATCCAAGAGAAGAATATTCTACAGTTGAGGATATGAGGTCATACAACTTGACATTAGATGCTATGAACTTTAACAACAACTTCACAACAACCATTAACCCTGAAATGCAAAGTTCTATTATGCCATATGTGAAAGTATGGACTCATACAGGAGGTCAAAAAACTCAATATACAAATGGAGACCGTTCAAACTTTTGGCTTGGCATTCCATTTGCTGACTCAGAAGACTTTATGGGTGGTATTTCAACTGTTGGTACAGTTCAAATACAATATACTGGTGACAGAGACGGTCCAGATGAATTGAAAGCAAAGAAGTTTACAAAACCAATAGCACTTTTCACGGAAGATGCTCTTTTGAAGATTCGTTCGATGAAACCTGCTGGGGCTCCTCAGATTGGTATAACGACAGCTTCCATCGAGCAGATTTTGGCAGCAGGTCAGTAAGTTGTTCTTGAACTGACTTCTCTCCGTCAAATATTGACAGTACGCCAGTTTTGACATAATATTGTATTATAAACTTTCCTTTAGTAATATCTGTAAGTTTTGAAGTTATATTTTTGTCTGCTTCAAGAACTTTCACCATTTCAGTTATACCAACTTTCTTTGCTTTATGAAAATATTTTGGTTCAGCAAAGACTGCTATTCTATAACATTTTCCATTGTTTGTGTAAAGAACTATTCTGTCAATGTATTTGTATTGTTTGTGAGTATAAACTTTGTTTTGCTTCAATTCAAAGAGATATCCGAATACGTCCATCTTTTTATTCTAAGTAAAATGTCATTTCCGAAAAATAGAAGCGTAAGTGTTTCAAAAGGTTTAATGGCGGTGGCAGATGTGAAGTTAAATTCACCAACTCAAACAAACAGTCAAAGTGTTATTGTCAATGTCAAAGACAGAGATGTTGAAGTGGGGAAACCATACGAAGACGAAGATGGTATAACAATTGTTCCTGTAAAAGAACCAACATATCCTGAAGTTAGCAGAGACTTAAGTTCTGTTGCAGATATTCGAAACGACTACCAACAACTGAAAGACAAACTTCAAACTCAGGAGAAGATTTGTCAAGCTTTAAGTATAATGTTAAACTTGGTCGAACACAACCCTGTAAAAGTGAACTCATATGTCATCGCACCTCATGAAGTTTTGAAAGAACTATTGAAACTTTTGACAGAGGCAGACGATATAAACATCAAAGAAATAGAACCCGACATTAGTTGCTGTGGTGTTTCATATAATGCGATTGACAAGATATACGTTATGAAAGGAGGTGAAACGTTGAACTTAAAATATAGTTTCCCAGACGTTATAAAAATATTTGACGACCACAACATTTCATTAAAATTTATTTGCTAAGTAAATGGCAGAAGACATAATGGTTTATACTATTACGACTAAAAACCCTGAGTCATATAATTCTATAACAACAAACTTACAAAGTCCTCAAGGACGATATTGTAAACTAACCTTAAACACAATGACGACTAAAGCCTGTTTTGCTCTTTTGACACCAGAAGACTTTATTGTTGTGAATGGTAAAAAATACTCCTTTGAAGATACTTACTCAGATATACCACCAACAGGTTTTGTTGACTTATTTAATACTTTAAGTACGGGTGTAACATGTGCTGCAACTAGAGCAGGTTTCATTATGTTTGGATGTCCGACTGAGTTTACTATAAACGATATGAGCTATAATACAAAACTTATTTCTGGTTTTTACTACCAACAGTTTCCTATAACAGGAAAAGGTGTCATACAAGGAATGTCTATTCCATTGACATTAAGCACACCAATCTTATATATTGTTTCAAACTTAGGTTCAAAGTGTTATTCGAATGTCGACAGAAACTATTATGACCAAAAGATACTTATGCGTATAAACAATACTTTCTCTGCTGGTTTGCCTATTGTTCATTCGAATGCAGAATTTTCAACCTTAGTGAACTCAAACACTTTGGCAAGTATAACGTTGACATTAGTTGACGCAAACTTTGTTCCTGTAAAACTTTTATGTCCTATGTATTTGTCAATGACGGCAGAAAGTTTCGAATTGGAAGATGCAACTGGTGAAAGTATTGTATTACAAGAACAACTTCAACAACAAATAGCTCAAGAACAACAAATGCAACAAATGGAACAACAAAGTCAAGAATAAAAAAATAATATTTTTTTTATTTTTATAAAAATGTACAGAATAGATGTTTCAGATTTTTATGACTTCCAAGCATTCAGAAATATGTGTCCATTTAGAGACTATAACAAAGCAGTCGAGAATTTGAAACGTTTAGTCATTTATGTCGACTCTGCCCCAGAATGTTATGTTATGAAAGAATGGGATGTAGTCTTTAACAAACCAAGAGCAACAATAGTTTCAGAACAAGAATGTAGACAGAAACTTAAGAAAATAAAAGTCGTACAAGTTGGCATGAAGATGTTAGATGCTTGGGATATCTTATTGTCAAAGTTAGAAGATTTTTCAGTTCGTGGTATAAAGTTCTATACACCTTCTCCAAACTTCTATTCTATCTTCACTGGATATAAATATGAACAAGTAGAATGGAAAGAAAATATTATAGAAGCTTGGTTAGACCATGTCAAAGAAATTATATGCAATGGAAACGAAAAGGTTTATGAGTATATCTTATGTTGGTTTGCAAACATCTTACAACATCCAAGTGCTAAAAATGAAACTGCTCTCATTA